GGCTTTTGAATTATTTACCACATCCCACCTCTAATCTCACCTTGTGGACCTAATATTCTCTACATGCTATTGAGATAAGCTCAATTGATGTTACAACTAATAATATGTTAGTTTGTTTAATAGAAAAAAATTAAATAATAATGGAGGAATGCAAGTCCAAAAAAACTTTGACCTAGTATTTCTATGAACTTCTTATAAAACTCAACTTTGATCTTGAACAATATGAATAGGCAAGAAATGCACCATTCCTTTAATTCATTGCATACGCAATTAGATCTTGAATAAAAAAATTGAATAATTCAATCTCTTTATATAATTAAATGAAAAGATAAATTCCAAAATTACATATTGGTAAATCAAAAAAACGTGTGGCATCCCCATCAATCAAAAAAGATTGAGGCATTTATATGGAGTACATGGCATAAAGCCATTTTAATAAACATGTGGCATAATAGAATCATTTCTAGTAATGAATTACCATGCTTGTTTTTTCCAAGAACTAGCAAATCCATCCTTCACCAATTCTAGATTTGCCCAAGAACAATGCATATGTGAGGCTTGTGCTTTAAGATCATCCACAACACACTAGCTAAATTCAATGCATGTAATTTTGATACAGTTTGGTTCCTTCTCCAAAGTGCTACATTTTGGAAACTATGGCTAAAATGGAATGACCAAATTTTCAATAACAATGAATGACATCTTAACAAGACAATTAATAGGATATAGCAAGACTACAAATTGCAAGGACAAAGGTATTAATTAGCACCAAAGAAGAAGCACCAGAGAGTGGATACAAATTGTTTGACATTACTTGGGATAATAATAAGATCATATGCACAAGGCATGGTAGGAAAATCAAATGGCTTACCTACAACCACAACACTTTTAGAATTGGTCTCCATTGAGAAGAGGTTGTAACATAAATACTTAGGATCCACTGTTGAGTCAAGTTTGGTTGGGATTCCTCACTTCTGTTTTGATCAAATATCTTGAAATGATCCCCCTGTAATGAAGTTTTTAAAAGTATATATATATATATATATATATTCATATTCAAACATGGGTTTCATCAATCAGTAGTATTAGTCTTGGTTTTGATCTGCCTGCTGTCAGTGGGCAAGTAGTGGGTGAAGCATAATAAAGATTAATATAAATTATATAAGGTAGAACAATTAGAAGGGCTGGTGTGAGTGGCATTGGATTGTTGTGGCAGTGAGTTGGTTTTGGGATTGATATCTGCCATTTATGCAATTTATTATAATATCATGTTTTCGTCC